ATGCACTGAGAGAAAACAAAATAATTCTGACAATTATATTTACGACAATTATGAAATTTAAGTATCTGCAATTAGTTTTTCAAAATAATACGTAGTATTAAATACAATAAAAATATAATCACGGTAACAGTATATATGAATTATTAATTGATCAGTAGAAATAGCGACTGAACTATAAATTATATTCGTTATATAGACTATACAAATAGAATATGACATTATATTTTTTCAGTTTAGATAAATATTTTTGTGAAATAAGCATAATGTCACAATACCATTAAGATAAGTTAAATTGAGATAAAAAATACATATTAACAACGAAATACAATATATTTATTTAACGTATAATACGTTATACAATACGTAGTACAATATAGTTATTTAATAGGAAGAAACATTATTTAAAGAAAATAAAATTTATCTTTGAACTAAATAATACTTTGGCTAGATTAAATATTGCTTCAAAAAAAGAGATTCTTTAATATTTGTTAAAGTCCTATAATAAAGAGCGTTATCTTTTTTAAACAATTTATTAAACAAACATTTTGTTTGAAATAAAGCTACTTATTGTTTGAAAAACCAAACGATTTGTTGAATCAATAATTAATTTGATTGAATTTGTTGAATCGATAATTAATTTGGACTATTTCAAAAGCTACTAAATTTCTTTGAATTTAATAAAACTTATTAAATCAAACTCAAAAAAAATCGTTCTCTCTGTGTAGGAGAGGCGTTATTTATTGCATACAAATATTTCTAGTTGCTGGTACAACTTTGTTCTCCGAGTGTGGAAACGAAAAATTACACCTCTCTCGAGCTTCGAGAAATTGAATTGCGAGACGAATTATTGAGATTTCCGATTTCTTACGGATCACATACGGACTACAATATTGGGAGTGAAAAGTAATATGGATCCCACACGTAAGTAATACATGCGCGGGAGTAACGCGCAACGATAACAACGGTGTCTCACCGGTGCTGTGAAGATTTACAATCCGGAGCTGCTGCGGAGCTGCAGCGGCTAGACTTGCCTTACGAAGTAAAGTCGGGCTGCCGGCAGCTGCGGTCGGAGGAACGGATCGGCAGCCACGAAAGTGGAACGATAAATCTATGCTGGGATAACTGGACGCTTAGCTCCCGCATTCTTCTCTCGAGCGTTTAACAACCGCGACTTTTCTGCAATATTTATTGCCACGCGCTCCGCAAAAAGCGTCCACGGGGATGCTCCGGTCCGGCCGGTGGATTTTACTTGATATAATTAATGTAAAATTTTATCCTTTGAAAAAAATTGGGAAAAGTGAAAAGTTAAGTAAAGCCAAAAAAATTGCGCGTTAACAGATAATTGTGTGACAAAAAATTTAGAGTGCTATTCAAAGTCAGTCTATTCGATTTGCCTTCGGCAAATAGAAGGCAAGTATTCTACGTATGCAGTCTACAAACGAACGTGAATAAGCTATGTAAAAACTGCGTATGTAAAAGTTGTGAATAGACCGGCCAGCCCGTATCCAAAGTGATCTTATCGCCTCTCGCTCTTGATTGCGAACTTAATTAAGTCTGACTGTGCGCCGTGATTGCGCGTGGGCCGGATCCACGAAAAGTGAAAAGACGGAGAGGCGTAGCCGGACGGAGAGGAGCTAAGAAGGTGATGGCACACATATTTTGCATCGGAGAAAGTCGTACGCATACCTCCCCACCCCTAATTTTTCTTCTTCCTCCTCCTCCTCCTCCTCTTTCCCTCGTAGCTGTCCTCCGTAGTCAGCAGTTATGCACACTTACGCATATACGCAGGTATAATGATTACCGTGCATTAACATCTTGCATAACGCGCTGTAGTTTAATTAAAATACAAGCACAAGATATCGTACGGGTCCCGTCGTTCAGGCTTGTGCAATAAAGAATTATTCCGTTCAATGCATTCCTGTGTCTTTCTTGTGTAATCACTAAATATTTCAATAAATTCAAATATTTAAAATAAATCGTAATAATATAGATGAATACTACTCATAATTATAATTCTGTGTAATTGTATATATTATTATTATTATTATTATTATTATTTTTAAATATATTAAATTTTCTCTCACGGCTTTGCAGTGAAAATTGCAACGTCGTATTTTTCTTAATCTTAAAAATAATATATATATATATATATATATATATATATTCCAGTTTATAATTTAGTGCGTATAATTATTAAACGTATTTATGTAAATTAATTATTCTACTTTACTAATAAAATGATGATATAAATTTTATTGACAATTTTATATTGATGAATATTTTTAAATCCGAACTCCATTTCGTAAATGGATTTTACCCGTAACGGTAAAATTATAGTATATGCGTTTATTGGTCAATGCACAGCTGGTATTTTTCTGAGTGCCAATTGATTCGATCCATGCTTCTGCACCAGATAACATATTGCGCGAAACGGAAATGAAGTTGCGAAATGTATAAATAGGAAGATATCTAAAATCGTGAGACAATCTAACTTTATTTATATATGTGAGATAAAACTTTACATTAATTATAAAACATAATACAAGTTTTTACAGTTATATAGAGATTGCCATAAATGATGATATCTCCTTTTTTTATTCTAAATTTTTTTATGTTCAAGTTAAATTTTCCTTTGCGAATGCGTTGAAATATTTGTAATTTTTAAGTTATAAGCAAATTAAAAATATAAAGAACTTATCATAATCTATTTTTTCAAGCTGTTAAACTTTATTTTTGAAATAAATTTTTTAAGTTTTTAAATTTTATATCTTACTTAAAACCTTAATTGCTGAATTAATTGAATTAATTAAATATTGAAATTAATTATTGAATTATTGAATTCTTGAATAAAAAAGTATAAAATATAAAAAACAAGATAATACATCAAATCTAAATTTTTTTTAGAAGAGAAAGTTAATTCAAAATTGATTAAAATAAATCTGCAATTACGAGTGTGAGAAAATATAGTTGATTTGAGACATCGCGTATAAGATTAAAAATTTTCGTAGAAACGCACTTTCCTCATTGTTATGCAACGCATTTATATATTTGAAATGCTTACTTATATAAAATATTCTTCCGCATATTTCGCTGTAAGATAAATGTTTTCTTAACTGCGTTTGCTTGTCAGCACATTCTCATTCATGTAATAATTTTATCAGGAATGTTTTCAAATTAACTACATCGTACATATCATACATTTGCAATATTCGCCATTACATTCCATTAACATTTCTATTCGTTGATAAGAAAAATACTGTGGATTCTATGCAGGTCAGACAAACGGTATTGCCTTTCGGGAATGTTCCGTCCAATGTTTATCGGGGAAGAAGGTGAACAAATTACCGTTCAGTTGCTGGCAACGGTATCAACGAACTAATTTCTTCATCGGTTCAGTGTAAATAATAAGTGTAAATAATAAGACGGTACCAGAGAGCACTACTTTCTACGCACGCAAACTCAATCCAATTTGCAATTAATGGCATTTATTTTCGATGTTACAATATATTAATTTGCTGTAGTATTTGCTATAGCCACATGCGACGATCGTTGCATCGCGATGACGTGCGTTGCAACATTCAATATAAGATGTATATAAAATCCTCCGAAGCAAGCTTCTAAGAATTTCTTCGCACTTACGCGTGCAGTTGGCATGGAATGCGCTCGGCAATTCCGGTCGCCGATGTTCCTGGAAGGTAGAAAGATCCATAAACTCGAAAAAATTTGCATGAACGCCATTTGTTCGAGGAGTCGAATAAATGTCCTTGAAGAACTAAGATATTACTCTCGTCTCTCAAAGATAAAAAAATATATATATATATATATATATATATTGCAAATATAAAAATAATAAGAAATATTTCAATATTATCTTGTATTTTCTCGTTTCATCTCTTATCGCCCGATAAGATTTCTTT